CCGCATGTGATTCTAGAGTGAACCGGTATGCATTTGAATCCAGGCTTCACTCCTTAACTGACCTTGGGAAAGTTACTTAACCTCTCTGCTCCAGGTTCCTCTGTCTGTAATATGGGAATAATAACGGTACCTCCCTCTGTAGGGACCCAGAAGGGTACTTAGCAGCAAGTAATTGCTCTTACATTCAGTGGTTGTGACGCTGTCATATATTGAATAAATGAGCGAGTGAAGGAGGGAGCAGATTGCCATCAGATCTTGGCTTTTGAAGGCACCTTAGAAGAAACAATATTTTACTGACTTTCCTCCCCAACCCTGTAGTGGATGGTCTGTTTCACGGTCGGCTGAGCATGCCTGTCCAAAGCCCCACCGTGTGTAGGAATCCTCTCCCCACATCCCACTGGCCTTGCTGGATGCTCACATCCCAGAAGCTGTGCCATGCCGTTCTGTACCTGCTGAATTATTAGGGTTTTTTCCCTTGAAAGGACCCACGACCAATCTCCTTGTAACCTCTGTCAGTCTGCCTCTGTTCTGTGGAAATTCAGAAGACTGAGTCCCATGATCCCCATTCCTTAGGCAGGTTTTAGAGTCATTCCTTCTCTCCGCAAATACTCCCTAGGCAACTGCTGTGTGCCAGGCACGTTGATGCTGAGAAGAGTCCTTAGCCTCGTGATCCTGCGATTGGGTGGGAAAGAGAGCTAACAGTCACACAAATATGTGTCGGCACAATTTGTGAGGAACACTTTGAGCATGCTGTGGAGAGAGAAACAGGAGAAATTAATATAAACACGGGCAGTCAAAGAAGCTTGTATGACACAAGTGACTTTCCAGCTGACCCCAGGGCCAGGCCGACTGGGCTGTGGCAGGTGGCTTCCGGGCCCAGGGAACTGGAATGCGGGGCACACTGGGACGAGGAGATGGGATGAGAGGGCAGGCCTGGGGGAGAACCTTCGTGTGACCAATTATGGAGTCTGAATTTTGTTCCAAGAACAGAGAGAGACCGCTGAAAGGTTTTAAGCAGGGGAGTGCCCTTGTCCATGTTATATTTATAAAGATAACTGGCTGTTGTGTAGGAGAGACTGGAGGAGGGTGAGGGGATTCCAGGTAAAAGGCAGTTGACGAGGATGGATTGAATCAGGAGGTCGCCGTAGAGATGAAAAGTCAACAGATTGGAGACGTCTTTTGGAGCTGGCATCAGAGGACCTGGTGGTGGATTCCAGTGGCAGGTGAGGGAGGGAGGGAGGCATCGGGTTGCTATTCAGAGACTAAGCCCCTGTACAGTTAGATCCTTTCCAATTGGACAGTCACCAGCCAGCAATCAAGTATTTTCAATATTATACCTCGTAGATTTCTAATTAGGCAGCTGGAGGAGCCATCTACCAAAAGGAGGAAAAGTGTGTCGACGCAAAATAACCAATAACTATCCTATAGATAAGAGAATAAGCTGAGTTTATTATGAGCTAAGAGAATAAGCTGAGTTTATTATGAGCCAGAATGAAGATTATAACCCAGGAAGGCCTTAGAAAGCGTTCCAGAAAAGCATGGGTTTCAGTACGGTCTTATATCTTTTTAGAACAAAGAATGTACGTTAAACACACCCGGGATACATTTTCATCAGAATTTCAAACAGGTGTTCAGTTGCAAATTAGCAGGTCAACATGACCCTGATGTCAGGAGAGGCACTAATCCCGGCCTTGCCAATATGGCGTAGGAGGGGCAGTCTGCATTCTCATCTTAAGAGAGTACGTTCTTGACTTTGATGGTTAAGCAGAGTACAATGTATGTTTGACAGGCCATAAGTCAGGCTTTTTAGTTCAAGCCGAATCAGTTTTGAGCCCAAATAGTTACTTTACCCCGTATACCTCAATAGGTGAAAACCTCTTGTCAAGTGAATTGAGGGGATTTGGTTGTTGGATCAAGATTTTGGAGTGCAGGGGCCGGCCTGGTGGCACAGTGGTTAAGTGTGCACATTTCACTTCTCAGCGGTCCGGGGTTCACTGGTTCGGATCCCGGTTGTGGACATGGCACTGCTTGGCACGCCATGCTATGGCAGGCATCCCACATATAAAGTAGAGGAAGATGGGCACGGATGTTAGCTCAGGACCAGGCTTCCACAGCAAAAAAGAGAAGGACTGGCAGTACTTAGCTCAGGGCTAATCTTCCTCAAAAAGAGTTTGGAGTATTAATTTTAGTAAACCTTTTGCTAGCGCCTACAAACAGGTTCCCTACCCACCACACAAGAGGGGTCAAGTAAAAACTGGACAACAGGCTTATGGCAAGGAAAGGGTTTTTATTTCAGGTAACATCAGCCAGGAGATGAGAATGAGCCCTCAAATTTGTCTCCTTTCCTCTCATCTCCCTGAAAGAGGGGAGGCAGGGGTTTTAAAGGTTTGTGAGGAATGTGGCCACTGGTAGGGATGGGGGGAGCCTGTGGCCTTGGGCACTTTCCTGCCAACCTGTGTTCAGCCGTGGGAGGCTGCTTACAGGGAGGAGGATGATAAGGGCATTTGCAGGTGGGCCACCTTGGCTCTTGTCTCCATGGCGACTAGTGGGGATGGTGGATTCTGGAGCCTGGAACCCAGGGAGCAAGCAGAGAAGGAGTGCTTTGGTTTTAACCCCATATGTGCTGGGTTTAATGTAGGGGAACTGATGTCAGGTCCTCATCACCTTGAGACATTAAAATGCAGATGTTAACTGGCGTTTGGATATCACAGACTGGGGCACGTCAGCATGCTGTTGGTTTAAAGCTGTGGGAATGTGGCTATGCGTCACCTGGACCCCTCATGTGCAAGTGGGAAGTGGGCCCCAGCTGCAGGAAGAAAGCCAGAAAGTGTGGGTTGTGGAAGTCTGGGCCGCGGGATGGGAGCTGCACTGGAGTGGATTTATGAGGCTGGTGTGGGTCAAGAGGAGGTAGATTACAGAGGTCACATGCAAAGACCACTCCAGTACATTCACTGTGAGGGAGGACAGAGAGGGCTGTGTGAGTGGAGGGCTCTGTGGTCAGGGAGAATCTGACTTCCTCGGTCTCTTATCCTAAATATTCCCCCAATTCATTCAGTCATTCTTTATATGAGGGTATTTCCAGAAGATCCTATAACTTGTACATAGCAGTGTTTCCCCCAGAATAGGATGCTTCACCCAAAGGGTGTTCCTACCAGTCGGCCCTTTGCTTTCTCTGCTCTAAACACTCTGTGACAGATGCGGCTGAGCTGAGCCGTCGGGCCGGCCGCGCCCTCTGTGGGCTGGTTCTGAAACTGCAGTCAGGTCCAGCCCGTCACCGTCCCTGTGCACTGAGTGTTAGCACCTTGATCAGAAGCAGAGGTCCCACCAACTTTTGAGAAAGGAGCTCTGATAATGAGCTGGGTTAGGAGACCACTCAGGGTGGGCAGACAAGGCAGGCTTTTATGATGCCGCTTAACAGAGGTGGAAGCTGCAGCAGGCAGAGCCTCATTCCCTGGGGAGAAACAGCTCCGGAGCTTCGTTCATGTCCTGGTTTGGGCTGTCAGAGCTACGCTGTGTCTCTTGTGAATGCTTTGGGATGTTATTTGAGGAAGATACAGTGGATGTTTTGGGGGTTTTTTTTTTAAAGATTTTATTTTTCCATTTTCTCCCCAAAGCCCCCCGGTCCTTAGTTGTATAGTTTTAGTTGTGGGTCCTTCCAGTTGTGGCATGTGGGACACCGCCTCAGCATGGCTTGATGAGCAGTGCCATGTCCGCGCCCAGGATCCGAACCAGCGAAATCCTGGGCTGCCAAAGCACAGCGCACGAACTTAACCACTCAGCCACAGGGTTGGCCCCCAGTGGATGTTTAAATGGCTTTATTCTACTGTACTTTTCTTGGTGACCATTTAAAAGGCAAATCAGAGGGAGTCAGATGTTCGTTCTTTCTTTCACTCACCAGATGTTCATTGAACACCTGCTGTATGCCAGCTCTGCTCTGCGTGCACAATGGGGGCACCGTAGTGAACAAGCAGACAGACCTGCCTCACGTTCCAATGGGAAGTGACAGGCAGGAAATGAGACCCATACAGCCCCTTGGTGATGGCAGTAGGAAGGAGACACCAGGCAGGGAGAGGTGGGCGGCTGGGCTGCGTGCGGGAGTGGAGGTTTTAGTTAGAGGGGCTGGGAAGGCCACTGAAGACCTGAGGGGGAAGCGCTGGCCGTGCAGAGTGTTCCAGGCAGAGGTGCAGCCGTCTCGAGTGCTGAGGCGGGGTGGTCTGGCCTTTAGAGGACCAGCGTGAACACAGGAGGTGGTCAGGAGACCCAGCAGGGACGGGACGGGGCAGGCGCAGCTCCAAGTGCAGACTCAGCTTGTGACCTGAGGGAGTGGGGGTCCTCTGGGCAGCTTCAGGTGGAGGAGGGAAACAGTCTGCGGGCTGTAGGCTGCGGGGCCACCAGGGAGGGGGCTAGTGTGAAACACAGGCAAGAGGTGGTTTTGTAGAAAGACCAACAGGATTTTATGAGGCTTGAATGTGGGTTGTGAGAGAAAGAGTGGTCAAGGATGACGCCAGGTGTTTGCAAACTGAAAGAATGAAGTTGCGATTACCTGACGTGAGGAAGGCTCCGGGAGTGTAGGGGGTGGGGAGGGCGCTGCTCCGTGCTGGACACGCTGCATTTGAGATACCTACTGGACGCCCGAGTAGAGACGTCAAGCTTGTGAGTGGATGTTTGGATTGGCGTTAAGTAAGAGATGGTGCTGGAGAAACAGATTCGGGAATTATCCTTACACTTGCACAGATGGTGTTTAAATTCATGAGACGCAGTGACCAAGGGGCTCTGTTGAGATGGAGAAGATGAGCTCCAGGACTGAGAGCTGCGGCTTTGTCACTGTGGTGTCACAGAAGGCAAATGAAGAAGCAGCTGAAAGACAAATAACCTGCGGTGCCACACGCTGCGGATCGGTTGCATATGATGCGCACTGAGAGCTGGCCTCTGGGGGTAGCCTGGGTCTTGGGTTCTCCTCTGACTTGCGATGCGTTGTCTTGTGCTCATTCTTCCCGCAGGTTGTGGCAGATACCAATATAAGCGCCATAGCCACTCAGCTTGAAAACATGTCTGCGGGCTACCACCTCGGTTCACCCAGTGCCGAGCACCATCCGGATGACACGGAGTGAGTATCCGAGATGTGGAGTGCCTGTTCCGTGTGTGGGCAAAGCTCAGGGAGCCCTTTTACGGATTGTGTTGATGGAGAGGAGTGGGACAGCGCACAGTGCCTCTCCGACGCTGGAGGATCCCCAGGGAAGCACCAGGGTCTCTGAATTTCTCACAAGCACATTCCACGTGTGAGTTCTGAACAGGCTTGTTGCAGGGCCTGCACATGCTCCAGCTGGTCACTTTGACACCGTGCCTGTGCCTTCTCCCCTAAGAAACCCCACATTTATAGCCCAGGGGCACCCTGCTTTATTACACAAGGAATCAGCTTCCCTCAGTTTTCTAAGCTGAAATCTTGTTCTGGGGTTAAATCTTGTTATACTTGCTGGTATTCGTCATTAATGCCAGTCAGTGCAGCTAAAGTTGCTCATTCAAGCAGAGTTTCTCAAACTGGAATGTGCATAAGAATAAGGTAAAGAGCATATTTAAAAATGCCGATTGCCCTGGCCCCTTTCTCAGAGATTCTGAGTGGGTGGTCTACACTGCATTCTCCAGGGAGATTTTTCAGCTAGGGAGAGGATCCAGGCAGAGCGTCTGTCCTTCGAGAAACGCTGCCTGGAGTTTCTCCTCTGGGTCCCACCGGGCCTGGTCACCAGCAGGTGCTCAGTAAACGGTGGTAGCTTATTGGAGGATCTGATGATCACAGCCGTTCCCAACTTTTTCCTGAAAGTTCATCAGCTTAAGTGACATCTTTGAGTTTGTTTTTCTGGAGGAAAGAATATAAAACTAAGCTCATTTTACTTTTTCCTCATTATGAAATTGAGGAATGCATGCTATTAAAATATGGCAAATACGTGAAAGTATAACATTTTCAAGTTACAGTGGCCCTTCCCTTAAAAGACTCAGGGCCCTTGTAGGATGAGAGGACGCATTTGACATCCTTTCAGGCGCGTGGGACACAGAGATGCCCTTGTAAGCCTGGCCTCTTTGCTGTGATTCCACAGCTCCTGGCAGGTTGGGAGCCACTAGCATAAACAATGGAAAATCACTTAGAGTCCAAGTGTTAACATTTGGAGATAGATTTTTTACTAGTCTTCTATGTGAAAGTACATTAAACCAATTAAAAATGTGAGTTAAATGGCGGCGACTCCAGTGAGGTGACCAGTGGACGGTGGAGCTGACTCCTCCCTCTCGCCCGGAAGCGGGGCTCTGGCTGTGAACGGGCACAGTCGGGAAGGTCTCTCCTGATGTGGTGACCCCCAGGGGCTCTGCAACAATGGCTTTGGACTTCTAGGTTCCATTTCAATATCCTTGGGAATGGGGCTGTGGGTGAAAGAGGAAACACGATCGAGTTCACGTCTAGCCAGGGGCCCTTACTGAGCATTTACACGGCCAGCAGGTGGTGAAAGGTAGAGCCTGTCCATGACGTCATTGCCGCTCCACCTCGGGGGCACTCGTCATTAGTCCAGCAGATGGTCACTGACCCTTCCAAAGGCTGGACGCTGTGCAAGGGCAGGGTCCTGAGGATTCAGACTTAGAAACGTAGGGGAAGGCATTGCCCCAGTCCTCAGGGAGCTCCAGAGAACTAGAAACACAGCCCCATCCGTCCTTGGTACAGGAGAGAGCTGAGGAAGCTGAGGGGCATGACTCACGAGGGACTGTGCCTGGGGGCACGAATGCTTCAGCTGAGTTTTAAAACAATTGGCAAAAGCAGGGGTGGCGTTCAGAACAGTGGTTGCCGGCTATGAACAATCCGTGAGTCCGTCATCAAGAAGTGGTGTCAGTGTGAACCATCTGAAAACTAAGCCTAAAATAAGCCAGGCCGAATTGACAAGGGGGACAGGGAAGAATATCCTAGTCAGACAGAACCACATCTTCACAGATTACTCATGTCCCACTTTTGCAAATTTCTCTAAACACATGAGTGTTGAGTTCGTATCGGAGGGCTCTGCCGCTCGGATACACAGGCTGCCGCACGACCAGCGGTGCTGCCAGCACACAGACGGACCTCTGTGCACATGCGGACGACAGGGTCTGGGTACCAGAGCTCCCTTAGGCTCCCACCCTTCCGACAGCCACACCTGGGATAGGAAACTGGCGTAAGCTTAGACTTAACTGCTTGAACCCACGTGGGTGGTTTAATTTTGAGCCATGTTGTTTCGAGAGAGAAGACTTCCACACTGGACGAGCCTTTGAAATCCAAATTCCGCATTCGAAACGCTGGGTGTTACCCATTTGGCTTCACCTCGGTTTCTCTCTTCTCCTGGATTTCAGCTCTCCTTTGCACAGTCATGATCCTGAGTTTGTGACAGGCAGCATGCGCAGTGCCGGGTATACTCAGAGGACTGAGACTCACGGGGTTCCGAGTCTGGCAGAGGAGAAGGATGGTCCAGTAATCCCCATAGACTTGAGTGCCGTGTGGAAGTCGGGACCAGGAGCAGAGGGAGCACAGCAGACTGTGTGGCTCACTCTCTGAGGGAGTCGGGAAAGCTGCTCAGTGGAGGGGGCTGGAAGAGGGAGCTCCCACCCCAGGGGGTGCGAGGGTCCAGGCAGGAATACTGAGCTGCCGGGCTGCCGTCACCCGTGGTGGACAGAGGCCACCTGCAGACGACAGTCTGTGCCGGGCTCGGGGTGGCCCCGCCTCCGTCCCCATGCGCCTTCCTCAGGGGCGTCAGCACAGTTCACTCAGCTTCAAACTCTGAGAGTTAGAACTAAGCACACAGAAGGTACTGTGACAATTTCAGCATCATGGCTTTATTTTTAATTAGAAAACAGTGAGCTTTATGTAAGAGAAATTCCTGAAACGTCATCAGTGTTGGTCGTTAGTGCGGCATGAGGTGGGAAATTTAAAAATGAGCTTGCTCTCGGAGTGTTTGATTTGATACTCGAGCCTCCGCAGTTTCGCGGTATGAAAGTCTCTCTCAGTCTGTGTCCTTCTGTTAGAGTGACGTCCCTGCAGTGCCTCTTCCTGAACTAAACGGCGTGCATTGTGTTTTCAGAACGCCTCCGCCTAAGACCATTGCCTTGGAGAAAGGCTCTGACGGGTTGGGGTTGAGTATTGTAGGGGGTTATGGAAGTCCCCATGGAGACCTGCCAATTTATGTCAAGACTATATTTGCAAAGGTATTTTTTCCTTTTTACTGTCCTTTTGTTTTCTTATCAAACCTAGGTGAGATTTTCTCAAGTGCTTTGCTGTGCTGTGCTTTGGCTGTCCCTGGGCGTGTGATGTATGCTTACTTCATCTGAATCTTCTAGGAAATTCCCGCACCAGACTAGCGAAAGAAGAGTTGTGTGATAATATCAGAGGCACAAGAGGTGTAATGTTCTTTGGACCCTGTCACAAAAGTAGATGCTAACGGATTTTAAGGAAGGTCTTCCTTCGGCAACACAGTATAAAGGGCAGTGCCACGCTCTTTGGAAGCTGGCCTTGGAAGTCTTGTCCTGGGCGAGACCAAAGATGTGGCTTTCTCCCTTAAGAAAAGAGAACAGACGCCAGAGGGCTGCGCCATAAGCTGTGAGCCAGCCGCCGCTCAGTGCAGCATTGGGCCGCCCGACACCAAAACGCCGGGATGCTGTGTAGCTTATGGCACTTTCTCTTTTCCAGTCCTCCGCCAAGTGCTTTAGGATCAGCCTGAGAGGCTACACTAAGACTGGATGATAGAGTGTTTTTTAGGAATTAAATGTTTCCATAAATCCTATTTAATTAATACCCAGGTCGTGGCGTGCAGCCCCGCTGCTGCCTCTAGGTGGCTCTTAGATAAGTTATTTTTAACTCCATTGTGATGTTTAAAGTTGGAATTTAGTTTTCTTATACATTTTGAAGATCTCTGAAAAGTATTAGTATTGATATTACAACTTTATTCCTCTTTATTCCTTTATTTATTTATTGGTTTTATCACAGTCAGTCATTCATTGATCAGATTGCTTCCCACTGCTTTATTTTCCTAAAGAAATGAAGGTCTTCGAAAGAAGACATAAGATAGCTTCTGTCTCTTTCTGGAAAGCCATACTGTACCCTACTCACAAGGTGGCCCCCACCCTAGCAGACCCCATCACCTGTCAGTTGGGCCTGACCGAGACCCGAGCACGATCCTAAGGTCACTTGGCAGGTGATTCTGGAGCACATTAGACCCCTGCAGACTGCCCGTCTGTTTCCATCCTGCGAGGGTGCCTGTAAGACAGCACGTCATTCCCAGCACGCATCTGCTGACCTGGAGGTGGGCTAACGGAAAGCGGGCCGGCAGACCAGAAACACCTCGGACGACCGTGCTGCCCGTCTATAACTGCCACGGTGGGTGGGCCACCTACAGACCCTCCTTTTCCCAAGAAGGCACCATAAGTAGTTGTGATGATCATTCTTTGGGGCATTATCATACATACTCTGCTTTTACAGGAGGCAGCCATGTAGTAAGGATGGTGGACAGGCTGCAGACTCAGCCCCATGTGTTAGCGAGTTCTGCCCGCCTGCCTTCACCTCCAGAAGGGCGTCCAGAATGTTTGTAGTCATCTCACCTCACAACTGTGGGTTGAGCAGCTGCAGTCCAGAGAGAGGACGGGTGGGCCTCTGAGGTTTTGACCCGGAGCCCAGAGTTCTGCAGACTGCCCAGCGGCACCTTGCTGCACCCACACGTAGACAGGGGCCGGAGTCACGCACCTTTGCCGGGGCACCGGAACACACAGCCGGGAGTGGAATGGCCGTGCGTTGCTGGTGGATTTTTTAAAAGAAACCACCTCAAATCCTATTGGGACCTCAGTAGTGGGATCTGAAAGGACTGCAGCTCATATCGGGTGCCCTTTCCAAGGTCCCAACTGGAAGTGCTCATTTAGGAAGCACCTGTGCGAGCAGGAAGACGGTCACAAACACTGAATATCCTTGGTATGTTTCATTTTTTAAGGAATGGACCTTTTTTGTAAAGTGAGCCACACCTAAAAGTGAAAAGCCCTGAATTAACAAAAGAAAAAGTTCTAAAGCCCTAGCTAAGGCCCCCTCAGTTCAGTCAGTCTTCCAAGGCAAATAATTGCTACCATTATTATAACTTAGATGGTTCTCTAGAGTTTACTATAGTAAGAATTAGTTTAATGACTTTTTCTCCTCTTTTTGTTAGAGTAAGCCAATATATCCAAATTTAGAGGTTTTCTGTAGAGAATCAATAAACCAAAAACTAGCAAATGAGATTTTTCTTTTTTGATGGTGAAGACTTTCTAAAACAGATTCTGACACTGAGCTGAGCTTTCGCCCCTAGGAATTCTGAAGATCTGGGAACTATAGGTGTATGTTTTTCACGTTTTTTAACACTGAACATATCTTTTTAAAAATATTTGCTTAGGTCTCTGGATCGCAGATGTCCACAGGTGTGGATTTTTATGTGACCTTTCTGTGTCCTAAACCTTCAGTAAGTCTCTTGCTCAGCTAGGACACTAACTCGGCCCGTCACGGTGTTTTGCCCCCACAGTGTGACGCATCCCCGCCCTCGGGGCGTGCACGGTGTGTGAGACTCGGTCGATCTGATTATCGGGCTGTCGGGACCTTCCATTTTCTTTCAGGTGTTCAGTTGGGAACTCCAGACTTTGATAAGAGAACCTTCGCTCGTAGTCCCCTCAGCAGCCGAATTTTACCATAAGCCAGCAAGAGATTGGCTTAAAGATTTCAACAACCCTGAAAGTGGAGGGGTGTTTCAGAGCCTCTGAAAGCATGGGTCCGATCATCACTGGAGCTTCACTTTATTATAGCCCCCATCACTGAGTAAACACCAGCTGCCACACGGTCATCCTGAGCACAGGGAACAGTCGATGGGAGATGCCCGTGTTCCGGCATCAGGGAAGGCTGAGTGACAGGCCAGCTCACACAGCAGGCTGCGTGAAGCCACATTTCCCAGCCAGATGCAGGCCTGTCTGTGAACACCTCTTTCTTCCTTCCTTGCTTTGTCCACAAGTGCCACGTTGAGAAAGCAGGAGGTGACGTGCAGGTCAGGAAGTCATCGTCAGTAAGCACAGCAATGCCTGAAATAGAGCATAAAAACTACACGGATGCCTGAGGTTTACTGAGGCCCTTAAATCTGAGCATAGAAGCCTGATAAAATCCAGTTACCTAGTGACTCTGATTCTCTCCATTAGGGTTACTTGTTTAATCCTGATTTAGTGCAGTTAACCCCCTCCCTAAAAGAAAAAAAGATCTGAGTGAAGTTGCGTGTTATTTAGTTTTGCTATTTTCCCCCAGTATAGACCTGGTTTTGAATATTCTTCATTCCAGAAATTCCAGATAATCCTCCTGCCACCTCAGGACCCACGCTGCATGGGACAGAGGTCCCTGGAGCGTCCGCGCCTCATCGCTCGGCTTCTGAGCGAGTCCCTCAGGGACTTGGTGCCTCTGGCCTTAGTTTCCCCACTAGTGGAACATCATTTAAAGGACCTCTGGCGCTAACTTTTCAAGGCATTTCCACAGTGACCCCAACAGATGGAGAAAGCTGCCTGTGAATCATTTTCTAGGTCTTGTCTTCCCTGACCAGTCCCAAATATTTCTAGTAATACCACGGCATTCTTAGATACTCAGCTTTAGGATGAAAAAGCCCTCACTTGCTTTGTGCCATTTTGAGGAGCCATGCATGGCTGGGCATATAGGGAAAGTGGTCATTTAGAAACCCATTTAGATGATCAAAGATAAAGTTGGAGCTTCTAAATATGATACTGCAAAATTTCAGAGATGCTACATGTTTGTGTATTTTTATAGAGAACAGCTTTCCTGAGATAAAATTCACACGCCACGCAGTTCACCCACCCAGAGGCTAGGCTTCTTTTGACAGATCACCTCAGTGCTGAGAGCTTAGTTATGCAGTGGGAACCAGATACAATGACGCATTGGCGCCAATAAAACTAGCACCAGACTGGGTCCTGCCTTAGTTTGTGGATTACGTATGCATGAATGTGACGGGATGGGACATTCAAATGGCATTCAGTACTGAATGTTGAGTTAAGCTCCTACTTGTTAAAAGAAATGTGAATGCCAGCACTTTTCTACTTGTTTGTTATTTAAACAGTGCATAATTATGGTTACCGTTCACCCATTGTCAAATAACAGAACTTAAAAACATTGCTTAGAGCAACTTTAGTTGGTAGTTTTTAAAATTATTCTTTTAATTTGCACACCAGACACAAGGTAGAGGTTCTCATGTGATTTGGATAGCGATTGACGAGCCCCGGGCTAAACTGGAATGTTTCTGGTTTGTAGGGAGCAGCTGCAGGTGACGGCCGACTGAAGCGAGGTGACCAGATTTTAGCCGTTAACGGTGAGACTCTGGAAGGCGTTACTCACGAGCAAGCTGTGGCCATTCTGAAACGCCAGAGAGGGACTGTAGTCTTAACGGTGCTGTCGTGAGCCTGGGTCCTGATCGCAAGACAGGCGTTGCAGACTGTCACCGAGGATGCAGTTCTGAAAGAGGACGGAAAGCAGCCTCAACTAGAATCCACCTTCCTTCTCACTGCTGTCCCCTCGGCTCAGGAGGGATGGCTGAGGTTTCATGTAAATGTCCCAAACCAACAGTCGCCTCCCTAATATTTCCCAGCTTCTGTTACCTCGTGATGAGGTTAATTTCTAAAACTTGAGTGAGTCTTACCTGTTTTGCATTTAACATCGATGTTTATCAAGTAGTAGTAACCAGTTCTGATTGATTATGTGCGCCGAAACTGAAGTTAACAACCTCTCATTCCTTATGCGCTTTTCTCCCCATCCCAACTCATACAGAGGCTTCACGACAGCCTCGTCTCACCCAGTGAACAGAAACAAATGTTAAGCAACTTGTCATCTCGCTCGTAATTTACTCATGCTAATGTCTCCTCCAGTACACCAGAAACATTAGCAGTGTAATTAACTTCCCAGTGATCCTCACGATGAAACACCAGATTCTCCTGTGGGAAATTACTGTGCTCTCTTCTGAACAACTTACGGTCAGATAACTCTCAAATTCATTTCTCTGGATAGATCTTTATAAGTTAGTCATTGGTGATTATGATGAGTCAATTTTCAGACTGTAATCTGAAAATTCTGAAAGGCTTTCTAATTGTTTTCTTAGCTACACAAATCCATACCACTGAACAAATGCACCTTATTCTCAACAGGAACGTGTTCTGAATTCTAACAATGCCAAATTCTGTTCGATTCCAAGAAGTGCACCTGGAGTTGATGGCGTCTCAGTAGGCGAGCGTCATTCCCACCCCTCCATCTTCAGACGAGGCGGAGGAAGCTCCAGAGATCAGCAAGCTTTGCCTCAAGTCAGACGAGGTGTAGATGGCCTTGGCCTGGTGCCAAGTAGAGTGACAAATGTGAGTCTCCTTCTCCTCGGCTCCGTACCCGTCAGTCGAGCAGCGTAGACTGCAGGAATGTAGATGGAGTGACGTGCTTAGCCACAACGCGACTGAGCAAATGAACTGAGCCTAGGAGCCCGTGCTGGAAACACTTGGATCATGTTTCCTGGTCTCCCGGGAGCATCCCATTTCTTGAAATTTTGCATGCTAAGAAAGCAACTACAGCAGAAAATACAAGTATAAAGTTGGTCAGGGGCCTCCTTATTCAGGTACCAGCAGGAAGAGGAGGGAGATGCTTATCAGTGAGTTCTATAGGCTCTGCTGTAAAAAATGTGCCATGAAGGATGAGCACCAGGATCAGTAATAGACGTAGTTCAGCATTATTTAACTAAAACGCAATGCTGCAGATGGTGCACAGTAATTATCAAAATATAATGGGAAAGATAGATTTTAATTGAGAATAATCTTTGAGTAGATGTGATCATGAAGTGCATTAACTCTTGTTGGAATATTTTGTGGCTCTTCCAAAGTTTTGAGTGCCTAAATCTTGTGTTGAAAATGTCTTTCATGACTGGCATTAAGTTTTTTTAAATTACACACGGCTTTTGGAAATTCTAATGTATCCAAAATATGTGGTGGTGTTAGGATCTTGTCTTTCAATGCATGAGAAGCTATCAGCCTCAGAACGTTCTATGTTAATTGTATCCGCAAGAACACCTCAGGCAGCCAAGAAGAAATGAAGCCCAAATAAAACTTGAAAATGCACCTTAAAAATATATATATATATGTATGTGTGTATGTAATACTTTTGAAATGTGATTCTGCTTGATTTTGTTGGAACGGCCATTAAATACACATTTTGAAATAACACGTTGTTGTGTTTCTTTACACATTTACTCTTTTAGGTCATGCTACTAAATGTCTATTGATAAAGAAATTGTGATGCTTTATACTCCGTGCTGCTGTAAATTGACAGAAGCAGTGCTTCTCATAACTGGTTCTGTCTGCTTGCATGACTAATAAATAATTGCCTTGTCAAAAACACTTCTTTGCATCAGAACTTTCTGACAAGCTAAGGGGATATGAAGATGGGAATTTGTAAAAGGAGTAGTTCTCTCATAGCCACACATATCGTTTTGGCCTCATCTTTTGGGCCATTTATGTATCGTAGTGATATCACTTGTTGGAGTTAGCATGAGAGGAAAGTAAACCAGGAAAAATAAACTGCTGAATGTCCGTATGTGTGAGATGTCTCCAAAGATTCTAAATAAATGTAGTTGCCTGAGGAGCAAATGGCGTCTTATTATATAAGAAAAAGTTTAATTTCTGCATCTGATTTTGGTTTTTATTCAGCTATTTTGTTCCCTCATAGAAAAAAAAATCCAACTTTTCACAAAGTTTTCCAGTGTCCTATTAAAATCTGAGGTCCATTGGAAGCTATCTCACGTATTGTCACCTGTGTTGTCAGGCATTAGAATAGATGCTTTACAAGGGAGCCAGTATGTAGCCCAGAGGGCGTGTCCTCGCGTCACCCTACCTGAGTTCGAATCCTGACTCACTAGCCATGTGGCCTGTCCAAGTTGCTCAGTCGCCCTGTGCTTTAGTTTCTTCAGTTAGAAAGGGGTAGTAAGGGGGCCGGCCCGGTGGTGCAGCGGTTAAGTTCGCACGTTCCGCTTCTCGGCGGCCCGGGGTTCGCTGGTTCGGATCCCGGGTGCGGACATGGCACTGCTTGGCAGCCATGCTGTGGTAGGCGTCCCACGTATAAACTAGAGGAAGACGGGCACGGATGTTAGCTCAGAGCCAGGCTTCCTCAGCAAAAAGAGGAGGACTGGCAGTAGTTAGCTGAGGGCTAATCTTCCTCCAAAAAAAAAAAAAGAAAGGGGTAGTAGGGGTGGGGGTTTCTAAGCATGATAATGAGTAAAATTCAAGTAGAACCCTTAGTATGGTGCCTGGCTCATAGTAAGTGCTCCATAAATAAACAGCAATAAACCTCTCATCCCATTTATGGAGGTGGCCTGAAATGAGACACTTATGCTGATGATTCATGGTTTCGATCAGTAATGACCTTTAAAAATACATTTCTAAGCATGGCTTACCTCTGAACTCTTGACCAAAATCAAGTGGCAAAGTGTGTCAGTGATTATAATGATGTGGGCTTTTGGAACTAGAGCCTGTGCTGTCAAAAAGCCACAAGGAAGCTGAAACTAGGGCCTCCGTTATCAGCCATGCCAGGGGGTTGGGAGTGATACCCACTCCGAGTGCCTGCCCCCCCACCACGGGAAGCAGGCGAGGCACTTCAGATACGAGCAGCCCTTTGGCAAGGAATGTCAACCTGGTCCACACCTTAATTCCAGGAATTTGGAATTGCAAACTGCTGTTTTTCTAACCCAGCCACACTTTTCTTCACGCCATCTCCTGTCAAAGACGTCCACCTCCGCCAACCAGATGACGAGCTTTGAAACAGATTAGTTTAGATTCATCTTCATGTTAATTCCATCCAGGATACTTCTCAAATACTGTATGTCCTGTCCATAGAAGTTTTATTTGGGTCTTTTTTGTTTTGTTTTGTTTTTTTTGGAGGAAGATTAGCACTCAGCTAACTACTGCCAGTCCTCCTTTTTTGGCTGAGGAAGCCTGGCTCTGAGCTAACATCCGTGCCCATCTTCCTCTAGTTTATACGTGGGACGCCTACCACAGCATGGCTGCCAAGCAGTGCCATGTCCGCACCCGGGATCCGAACCAGCGAACCCCGGGCCGCCGAGAAGCAGAACGTGCGAACCTAACCGCTGCGCCACCGGCCGGCCCCTTTATTTGGGTCTTTTTTTATGTCTTCCGTTTCCCTCCTCACGTTCATGTTTTCCTTTACATCAGGGGTCAGCAAACTTTCGGTGTGAAAAACCAGATGATAAATATTTTTGGCTTTGCAGCCCTTTGCAATCTTTGTCAAAACTGCTCAGCTTGGCCATTGTAGCACAGAAGCAGCAATGGACAATGCGTAAATGAGTGAGCTTTGCTGGGTTCCAATAAAGCTTTATTTGCAAACACATTCGGGGGCCACATTTGGCCCACAGGCTGTACTTAGCCCCTGTGTTATATCCCGGATCATGTTTTAAGACCTACAGTAATACTTTAAGATCCTTGTCTACTATAGTATTCCATCATCTTTGACATTCCTGGGGCTGTTTCTGTTGATTGATGTATCTTTCCTAGTTATGGATGAGTCTTATTTTTATGCCTCTTTTCATGCCTGATAATTTCTTATTGGATGCCAAGCATTGTGAAATTTATATTGTTGGGTGGTGGCTTCTGTTGTACTCTGTGAAACAGCGGTGGCCTGTTCCTGCCTGCAGTTAAGTTGCTTGTGATCAGTTTGATCCTTTCAAGTATTTTTAGGCTTCTAGGGTGGGGCTCATGCAGCCTTTAGGGCTAATTTTGCCCCTCTTTTAAGGCATTATTCTGAGAGTTCTACCCAATGCCTGTATATTAGGTGTTCTTTCCTGGCCTTGAGGAGTTCCCTCTGAGGCATGTGGAGATCAGGGTCCCAACCGAGGCTGAAGGGCCCCTCTGCAGGTCTCCGTAGGCCGTTCTCCAGGTAGCTCCATCCTGTCCAGGACTCTGCCTCACAAATTCTAGCCCTTGGCCTCCCTGAACTTTGATGTCTCCTCTACTCACGGAGGCTGTTCGGTTCCCCTTCTGAGCTGTGGCCTGGACGCCGCCTCCTGACGGTGACGTGGGGCAGGTGTAGACCTTGCCTTGTCTCCCTCCTTTTAGAGATCAAAATCCAGGGCTGCCTCTGGCCTGATGTCTGAAAACTATTGTTTCATATATTACGTCCACTTTTCTAGTTGTTTACTGCCGCAGGAGGGCAATTCCTGTAGCACTTAATTCCTCATGGACAGACGCAAAAGACCTTTATCCTTGATCTCATCAAAAGGATTTAAGATGCTAATGGAAACCAATTTCTCACAAAGTGGTGATTTGATTTTCTGTAAGCATTTTACACTTAAAGAAGCTCTATACCACTGAGCTCCTGGGTTTCTCCCAGAGTTGCAAATTGACAGCCCATTTGATTCAGTCCTTGGGGTCCCTCCCCCACCCCTGCCACAGCCACCCCTGCCCAGGTGGCTTAAGAAGGATATCCCTTTTTAGGTACACACTTTCAGGATTAGAACCACCACCATCTTCTCATGGGAGATCACATGACATTGCCTGTCTTTCCTTACAGCGTTGGTTTTCAAACTTTATAAGCAACTGAAACTTTTTGCCCCCAATTTTCCTCCCCCCAATTTAATTTTTATAGATTTCTATTAAAGTCAATCAAAATAGAATTTTTGGACACAAAATTTAAAATTTAGGTAAGAGTTCCAGTTTTATGTCAGCCTAGTGTAAACATTAAGTTTTGACAGCTTGACTCACAATCTTCATATTCTCCATATTTAAGTAAAGACAAAAAAAGAAACATTTTACTGTGTGCACGATACAAAAATAAACTGGAATGTGGAAGAGAGGTATGTGTGTGTGTGTGTCAGTGTGTAAAGGACTTCAACCTCCACCTGTTCTGCACAGTCACTTTACGGAGCAAGTAGGCCGTTTGGTCGTGGGCCCCTGAAAGATCGCTGGCAAGTGTCAGGACCCGTGCTGGGCGAAGTTAGCCTGGAGCATACATTTCTTTGATCCTCTTTCTAGAATCAGATTTTTAGAAATGGTGGCAGCCTCTGAACTGGAGTCTGTCTTGCCCACCAGCCCACTCCCATTTCTCAGGGGGGAGGACCATACCAGAGGGAGTAAGTGGCTTGCCCAGGCACTCAGCTAATTTGCAGGCAGGAGTCTTCAGTAAACCTCAGTGGGAAAGCCATCCAATTTAGCTAACTATTGTAGAGCACCCACGCATGGCTTCTAAATTACCCTGAATTTTCAAAAGCTTGTTTCTGTACAGGAGGAAGACATTTCCTCTACCCACTCTGGGTCCTTCTGACCAGGCTACCAATTAAATTGACATGAGGCAGAATAACAGGAGAAAATCAAACAAAGCTTTATAACATGTATACATGGGAGAGACCCAGGAAAACTGAGTAACTTGCCAAAATGGCAGAGGCTCTCATCTTAAATACCATCTTCAGCTACAAAGGAGGATGCTGGGGGTGGGGGAGTCAGTTACGGGAGGTTACCAGAAAAGCACTGTAAACAAGAGTAAGGTCATTACACAGATTTAAGTCCTTGCCTTCCGCATTGATAACAGTTTCTAGAGATAAGGTCATGACCCCTTCTTCCTAGTACAGAGAGGGAGACACCCTTACAGATGGAGATTTCCCTTACAAGTGTAAATGTCTCTTGCAAAGGATTAAATTCTACCTTTTAGAGTTTCTCTCATGTCTACAGTTTTTAAAAGTAACCAGTCCAAAATAATCCTTTTGCCAAAGAGACACATTTTTGGTTGGCCAATTCTCATCCCCCTCATTTCAATTCTCATTTCAATTCTCCCTAACTTAGCTCTACAACACAAGGCACTTACAAGATAAAAATAAAGGTTAGAAAACAAAGAAAAATGGACACATTTTTTTGGATGTTGACAAAGAAGACCTGATTTATCAACTCCCCATGCATCTCTACATTCTGGCAAGAATGCCCAGGTCAGGACACCCAGGATCCCCTCGTGAGTTAAGCATTCTTCTCAAGGGAGCTGTAGCTGATGACAGGTGCCGTGACAGTGGCCCCTCCTGCCTAACGTCCTGACTAGGCATGTGCCCAGCTCCCCTCTCCTGGGAGAGCAGGAGAACTGGCGATGGCATAAAAGGTACCAGCCCTTCAACTCCACTCATCTCCAGAGCCTTGTTTCATTTTCCTGGGAATTTCAGGATGGCTGTCTGAAAACAGGGTCCCATGGCCTCCATACCCTGAGGGATGGGGTTCACTCGTTTTTAAAGGTTGGGAGTAGAAACTTCCTGTCTGACATTGGAATAGCCAGGATTCTCCAGAGAAACAGAACCAATAGGATTGTCAACGCAAAATAATCAATGTCCATTCTATAGATAAGAGAAATGAGGCAAGTTTACTTGAGCCAGAGTGAGGATTATAACCCAGGAAGGCCTTAGAAAGCATTCCAGAAAAGCATGGGTTTCAGTACAGTCTTAGATCTTTTTAGAACAAAGAACATACGTTAAACACACCCAGGTTAGGTTTTCATCAGAATTTCAAACAGGTGTTCAGTTGCAAATTAGCAGGTCAACATGACCCTGATGTCAGGAGAGGCACTAATCCCGGCCTTGCCAACATAGTGTAGGAGGGGGA